AATCATGATTTTATCCCGCTCCGAGACCGTGATACTTCGAAAGAGATTTTCCATTTTGTACACGAAGTGCATCCAGTTTTTGTCGTAACCCTCTCAACTTTTCAGCGCATGCTATGTGGGTGAAATGATGAGACCATGCCAACTTTCAACCTTTTCAGAGTTCATTTGAAGTGCTTTTCAATTTCAGGGCCATTTAGCTCAAAAAAATTCAGTAAATGCATGAAAAATAACAAATGAAGTCAGAAAGGGTTGAAAATTGATGATGTGGCTTTGAATGGTGCATTTTGAACACACAAAAAGTCTGGAGTTCAAATAAGTTCAAAAAAATGAAATCCCTTTGTAACAGAAGTGCTTTCGTCAAAAACCCTGATACTTCGAAAGAGATTGTCCATTTTGTACACGAAGTGCATCCAGTTTTTGCCGTAACCCTCTCAAATTTTTAACACATGCTATGTGGGTGAAATGATGATACCATGCCAACTTTCAACCTTTTCAGAGTTCATTTAAAGTGCTTTTCAATTTCAGGGTCATTTAGCTTAAAAATATAGCAATCCGCTTAGAGAGATCTATTCAGATACTTCTGCATCACCAAAACTTATGAAAAATTACCATCCATCCTATATCACATGTGCCCACACCATGTAAAAAATCATGATTTTATCCCGCTCCGAGACCGTGATACTTCGAAAGAGATTTTCCATTTTGTACACGAAATGCATCCAGTTTTTGTCGTAACCCTCTCAACTTTTTAGCGCATGCTATGTGGGTGAAATGATGAGACCATGCCAACTTTCAACCTTTTCTGAGTTCATTTGAAATGCTTTTCAATTTCAGGGCCATTTAGCTCAAAAAAATTCAGTAAATGCATGAAAAATAACAAATGAAGTCAGAAAGGGTTGAAAATTGATGATGTGGCTTTGAATGGTGCATTTTGAACACACAAAAAGTCTGGAGTTCAAATAAGTTCAAAAAAATGAAATCCCTTTGTAACAGAAGTGCTTTCGTCAAAAACCCTGATACTTCGAAAGAGATTATCCATTTTGTACACGAAATGCATCCAGTTTTTGCCGTAACCCTCTCAAATTTTTAACACATGCTATGTGGGTGAAATGATGATACCATGCCAACTTTCAACCTTTTCAGAGTTCATTTAAAGTGCTTTTCAATTTCAGGGTCATTTAGCTTAAAAATATAGCAATCCGCTTAGAGAGATCTATTCAGATACTTCTGCATCACCAAAACTTATGAAAAATTACCATCCATCCTATATCACATGTGCCCACACCATGTAAAAAATCATGATTTTATCCCGCTCCGAGACCGTGATACTTCGAAAGAGATTTTCCATTTTGTACACGAAGTGCATCCAGTTTTTGTCGTAACCCTCTCAACTTTTCAGCGCATGCTATGTGGGTGAAATGATGAGACCATGCCAACTTTCAACCTTTTCAGAGTTCATTTGAAGTGCTTTTCAATTTCAGGGTCATTTAGCTCAAAAAAATTCAGTAAATGCATGAAAAATAACAAATGAACTCAGAAAGGGTTGAAAATTGATGATGTGACTTTGAATGGTGCATTTTGAACACACAAAAAGTCTGGAGTTCAAATAAGTTCAAAAAAAATGAAATCCCTTTGTAACAGAAGTGCTTTCATCAAAAACCTTGATACTTCGAAAGAGATTGTCCATTTTGTACACGAAGTGCATCCAGTTTTTGCCGTAACCCTCTCAAATTTTTAACACCTGCTATGTGGGTGAAATGATGATACCATGCCAATTTTTAACCTTTTCAGAATTCATTTAAAGTGCTTTTTAATTTCAGGGTCATTTAGCTTAAAAATATAGCAATCCGCTTAGAGGGATCTATTCAGATACTTCTGCATCACCAAAACTTATGAAAAATTACCATCCATCCTATATCCCATGTGCCCACACCGTGTAAAAAATTCATTATTTTATCCCGCTCCGAGACCATGATACTTCGAAATCATAATTTTATCCCGCTCCGAGACCGTGAACTAGAAAAATAAAATTATATAAAATTTATGTAATTAAATTATCAAAGTATTTTCTATTCAAACATTAAAAGCAAAAGGATTTTTTATAAAATAAATAAAAAGGCAAGAAATAAAATAAAATAAATAAGTAGAAACAAAATAAAACAAATAAGTAGAAACAAACTAAACTTTAATAAATAAGTAGAAACAAAATAAATAAGTAGAAACAAAATAAAATAAATAAAGCAAAAAAGAAAAGAAAAACTAGAAAAAATTAAAAAAGTGCCACCTACTGGGCCACCACGGCCTGAATACGACTAGAAACCCAACCATGGGCCAGGATTCAGGCCCGCAGCAGGCCCAGTAGGCCCACGGGCAAGGCGTGACAGAGTAGGCCCCGAAAGCCTTCAATTGAGAGGTGCTCGAGAGGGTGGGCGCAACAACGCTTATAAACCACCGCACCGCGCCAGCGCAAGGCCTTTGGTCCCGGTTGGTGGCACCAACCGGGACTAAAGGGGTGCATTGGTCCCGGTTCGTGGCACCAACCGGTACTAATGCCCCCCTTTAGTCCCGGTTGGTGCCACCCGATACTAATACACCCCTTTAGTCCCTGTTGGTGCCACCAACCGGGGCCTCTGCTTCCCGCCCTTTGGTTCCGGTTGGTGGGCCAGATGTATTTATTCATAGGATTAATTCCTATAGGAATTTATTCATAGGATTAAATCCTATAGGAATTTTTTCTAGAGATGTATTTGTACTACTTCCGCATTTGAAAGATTTTTTAATTTTTTCTATGATACAATCAAACAACCAAAAATCTCGTACGATTGAGATGGCCATGACAGACATTTTAAACCTATCCTTTTCTTATTCCCGTGTTTTAGAATTCTTCAAACCAAAGAGGCCGTAAAAAAGTAGACAGCGAAGTACGTACACCAGAGAGAAAAGTAGAGGAAGCAGAGCAGAGCATTTTATAATAGAGTCAATTACACCACTAGTGTCACAACTTGGCACGAAAAATCAGTTTAGTGCTAAAACTTGCGGCATACGTTGAACTGGTGCCACAACTTGACTTTGATGTGCATATACGGTGCAAATCACGTTTCTATATGAACAAAGTGCTGATTAGGCACGCCGACATGGCATGAGGCCCACTGTCAGTGACTAGATGGCAAAGTTGACGTGTGGCTGTTTTATAAAATAAAAAACTCGACTTTTTTCTCACAAAAAATACTATGCCACGGCCACAAGGGTCCACTTGTCAGCCTCCCACAAATAAATGTAAAAATTGTACGTGTGAGGACTCGAACAGCTGACCCGTAGATAGCAGGACCGCAAGGCAAACTACCTGACCCTCAAGCATTTTACGTAACGATTGTGTAAATTATAATAGTGTGTTATTTTTTTGACTGCACTGTTTTTTTTCCAGAAATTTATAGAATATATGTAAATTATAATAGTGTGTTATAATAATATATATGTTTAAAATAAATTTCATTATAAAATAATCTCAGATGGATTTAGTATTTATCTGTATAATAAATTATGAATTACAAAGTTGTTCATGTAATAATTTGCATATTGAATAAGAACATATACTCAATAAATTCTTATATAAGTTTAAAATTGTTCACAGTTTTAACAAAATATTAATGTAATATACAAATGTATTCATGCTTTAAGTAAGTGTTTAAGTTCTTATATATTTTAGTGAATGCTTATATAAGTTTAAAAATGTTCACAATTTAAAAAAGATATTCATGTAGTGTATAAAAGTGTTTCTGCTTTAATAAAGCTTTTTAGTTCACTACATATTTTCCTAGATTCTTAAATATGTTTTAAAATATTCACAGTATTAACAAAATATTCATGTAGTATATAAAAGTGTTCATGCTTTAAAAAACATATATTCATATAATGTAAATATAGTTGGCTGGAGCAGCGACATCTTAGTCATCATGTGCGAGTGGCCACCACACCACCCTGTAGTATTACCCTTTTTAGGAATTTATAAAATATATATTTATTTCAATAAATGTTAATATAAGTTTAGAATGTTCATGATTTTAATAAAAATAAATGTGTAGTATACAAAAGTGCTCATTGTTATTTTTAAATTTATTTTATTTCAACACGCAGTTACAATTTACATGTATTCCTTTTTACAAAAATAACAGTGTAAAATGGGTCGCTGGGACTCCAGCCCACTTAAGTCAGAATGGTTGTATCCGTTCATATCGGTTAATCAGAAGGAACGATGTTGGGTGTATTGGTTTGGCCTCTATATGTTTTCATGAGAAAAAAATACGATGTTTTTTTTTTCAAATTAGCAGGCATGCATCGTCCGGTTGCTGACAGCGGGCCCCATGCCACGTTGGCACACCTAATCAGCATCGTGTTCGTATAGTAACGTGATTTGCACCGTATATGCACGTCAAAACCAAGTTTTGGCACCAGCTTAATGTATGCCGTAAGTTTTAGCACTAAACTGACTTTTGTTGCCAAGTTGTGGCACTAGTGGTGTAATTGACTCTTTATAATACTATATATCCTTAATTAATGCAAGGTCAATATTCAAAGCTTGGAACTTTGGCGAAGTAGAACACCGGAGAGAAATTGCGGAGGATAGATAGAGCCGCCTCTGCCTCTGGCCTCAGACACTGCCTGCCGCACCCGCGCCCGGAGAAGAGCCAGCCAACGATACCTCGACGGCGTCGCCCATGGCCGCCGCGTACGACCGCACGGCCGACCTCCGCGCGCTGGACGCCACCTGCTCCGGCGTCCGCGGCCTCGTCGCCTCCGGCGTCACGCGCCTCCCCCGCATCTTCCGCGTCCCCGACGACGTCCACCAGCCACAACCACCTCCACCGCAAGCCCCATCCCATTCCCAAGAACCGCCGTCCTCGTCAGCGGCAACCGTCCCGGTTATTGATCTCAACGGCGACGACCGTGACGACGTGGTCGCGGCCGTCCGCCGGGCCGCGGCGGAGTGGGGGTTCTTCCAGGTGACGGGGCACGGGGTGCCGGAGGCGGCGATGGCCAAGGCGACGGACGCGGTGCGGGGCTTCCACGAGGCCGACGGCGGCGAGGGGAGCGACAAGGCCAGGCTCTACTCGCGCGAGCCGGCGAGGGCGGTCAAGTACCACTGCAACTTCGACCTGTACCAGTCGCCGGTGGCCAACTGGCGCGACACGCTCTACCTCCGCATGGCCCCCGACCCGCCCGACGCCGGCGACCTGCCGGACAGCTGCCGGTGAGTGCATCACAGTAATTCCTCCTTGTACATGACGATTTTGCAATAAATTGAGCATCTGAGTGCTCTGGTCAACTGCCTGGTTTACAAACAGATCTTGATTAGATGCTCAGAATTGTTAACGGTGCTCAGAATTCACAGGATCGACCCTCTGATGTGCAGCTGTGCCAATAATCAATTGTGTATTTGAGTGTGCTAGCTTGAGGTATCTGTAGCAAATCCCCATGGACCAGAGCAGATCCATTCTTCTTAATAACAAAATATGAGGGACATATCTAGTGTAACCACACACAAAATGGGAATAAAAGGAAGCCTTGGAAGTTTTACCTCAACTTCTCAACCACTATTTCAAACTATTCTGTATATGTATACATAGATAAATGACTTCAGTTTGACACCAAATCATACGGGGATGGTCACTTGAATTTGTGACATACATTTTCATTTTGATGTTTTTCTTTTAAGAAGCATGTAAACTAATTTATACACACAAATCTGTTCTGATAGGCTGATAATTTATACCAAACCAACCAAATATTGATAATATTCATTTTGTCCTACTGCTAACCCAACAAATGCCACTGTTTTGGAATTGAAGTGGGAAGGTAACCACCATACTGATGGTAGCATGATTTTCATGGTGGGAATGGAACCGGTTTTACATTTTCTGTTAATGTTTAAGAACAGGACTGTGCTATTTCTAATTGAAATGAATTTTCTTGTTGAGCCATAGTAAGTTGATGAGATTTACTGTGTTATTCTGACAGGAGTAATTTACAGTTAGTTCTAATGGTATAATTTATACCTATATGGAGGATATGTTGTTGGTATAAGTTCTTCCTTGGTTATTGACAAAATGACCAGAGCTAAATTCTGTAGTTAAATTACTTTCTCTAGGTCCTTCCTTTTGTTGTGAATATTAATGAAAGGTTACTTAAATCACATGTTCTAAAAAAGACACTCAACACTAACATGTTGATTCACAGCGATGCTCTGTTTGAATACGCCAAACAAGTGAAGAATTTGGGGAGCACTCTATTCGAGCTGCTCTCGGAGGCTCTTGGGCTCAAACCGAGCTACTTGACCGATATAGAGTGCAACCAAGGACAGATCATACTCTGCCACTACTACCCTCCGTGCCCCCAGCCCGAACTCGCCATCGGGACAAGCCGGCATTCAGACTCCGGCTTCCTGACCATACTTCTCCAAGATGAAATCGGAGGCCTCCAGATCCTCCATGAGGACCGGTGGGTAGATGTCACGCCAACACCTGGAGCATTCATTGTCAACATCGGCGATCTCCTACAGGTACACTGAACATTCCAAGCAGAATTATTCATTCAAGGCGAGCATTGATCAGTCACTCGTGGTCGTGTCGAACTGATTGTTTTGTTCAAAATGTGCAGCTGATCTCCAACGACGGGTTCAGGAGTGCGGAGCATAGGGTGTTGGCGAAGAACGCTGCGCCGAGGGTCTCGATCGCGTGCTTCTTCAGCACGCATTTCCACCCTGCCTCAACGAGAATGTACGGTCCGATCAAGGAGCTGCTGTCCGATGAGAACCCGCCATTGTACAGGGAGACCCTCGTCAGAGACTACATCAAACATTACTATTCCATCGGGTTAGATGCAAAAACTGCTATCTCTGATTTCCGGTTGTGAATTGTGAAGGAGAGTTTGTGTCCTCATAGTACTATACACTATATCAATGTACCTGGAACATTGATAAGTTGAGCAGTTTGTAATGCTAGAAAAATGACAGTAAAATGGCAGTACAAGTGCCATTATATTGTATTGTATACATTTGGTACAGGGGTGATTATATTGTGTACATTTGGTATAGAAGGGCACTAGTTTGGTACCCTGGTGCATTTTACTGGAACAGAAAAGAGTACCGCAAAATCTTCATAAAATTCTCTGTCTGATCCTGAAAAAACAGTGTTGGATCTATGCCTGGAACGCGGAATTTCTATTCGCCGATTCCAGGGGCGGCATCAAACTGTTTCCTGTAAAATTATTGATTGCCATTCATTTTGGCTTGAGCTGTCGGGCAACATAGGAGTTGCCAAACTGTTCAATCTTCAGTTATCTTAAATGGCACCGTTGCCCTATCTGACAGAGCTGCTTCTCCATACATATATACATAAATCAGGAGAGAGCTCGGCGAAGACGATCCTAGTTAGCTCGTTAGTTATTAGGCAGTGGTTCGAAGAGCACGGCGATCGGGCTACGCACGGAGCGCTTGCCGGAGACCCACCGGAGGCTGCCCTCGGCGGTGCCAACGGCGGCGGCATTGGGGCCTCGCTTGAGCTTCACCGTGAACTCCATCCTCTGGTTTACTAAGCCGAAGGTCAGCACGTTGGGCACCACCTCGACGGTCACGCCCTCCGGCGGGACGACCTCGAGGGTGTACAACGACACGGGATCCCCGATGTTGGTCACCGCGCGCTTGACGTCGACCTCCGGTGCGGCCGGCGTGAGCGTCACCATGATCGACGGGTAGTTGAGGTCCTTGCCCTGGATCTTCCCCGCCTTGGCGCAGCTCACGTTCTGCAGCGGCTGCGCCATGATCTCGTTGATCACGCTCTCGTTGTACCCGAGGCCGCACACGTACGGGATGTAGTCCGCCGGCGCCAGGTCGTAGACGAGGCCCGGGTCCAGGGCCCGCGTCGGGTTCACCAGCCCGGCGCCCATGGCGAAGCAGTTTGGCTTCCCGGTGGTCTCGTCCACGATCGGCGTGCCGTCCGGGTGCGTCACGTCGGCTGTTGTCATCAGCGCCGACTTGATCGCCGCCGGTGACCACTGCGGGCGCGCTTTCTTGATCATGGCCACGATCCCGGACAGGTGCGGCGTGGACATGGACGTGCCGCTGTGCAGGCCGAAGGTCCGGGTCGGCGCGGTGCCGTTGGCGCCGCCGGGGATGGAGGCGGCGATGGCCGTGCCTGGCCCGGTGATGTCCGGCTTGAGCACGCCGACGCTGGACATGTTGCAGGGCCCTCTCGAGGAGTACTCGGCGATGGCCGGCAGGGAGGCCCGGTTCAGCACGGCGCCGGCGAACCGGAGGGTGGCGGTGGGGTTGGGCGTGGAGTTGACGTACGCTATGATCTTCTCGCCGTCGGCGTGCGTCACCCGCGCCGCGGCGATGGTGAGGTCGTCCACGGGCGTGGTCGCGGCGCCGCGCTTCGGGCCGGACCAGCTGATCATGCCCGCGCCGCCCGCCTTCTGGATCATCTCCGCGAGCATGAACGGGTCCTCCTTGCGCTGGCACGCCACGATCTTGCCGCGGACGTCGACGGCGCTGAGCGCGCCGTCGGCGAACATGCCCGCGATGAAGACGAGCGGCCTGTCCTTGACGCGCTTGTAGGGGTTCAGGTTCTCGCCATCGATCACCACCCCGTTGCCGAGCTCCAGCCTGGAAACGATGCGGCGGCCCATGGTGCTGGCGGCGACGGTGAGCAGCCACGGGGCGCAGTTGGTGACGGTGCGCTCGAGCGGGCCGGCGTTCCCGGCGCTGGTGCTGACGAAGACGCCGGACAAGACGGCCGAGAAGCTGCCGACGGCGATGAGGTCCTTGTAGAACGGCTTCTGCGTGTTGTCGCCGATGGACATGGAGATGACGTCGACGCCGTCCTGGAAGGCGCCCTTCTCCGTGACGGAGAGGACCTCCGTGGCGGAGCAGGTGTCGGCGAGGCACACCTCGTAGAAGGCCAGGTGCGCGCGCGGGGCCATGCCGGACGCCGCCCCGGCCGGGGCCCCGAGCAGCTGGACGTCCCGCACGAACGCGCCCACGGCGGTGCCGGAGGTGTGCGTGCCGTGCTCCTGCGGGGCCCTGGACCGCCCGCCGATAAGCTTCTTGTTGCACGGCGCCTCGCCGGCGAAGTGGCACCCGCCGCGCCACTTGGCCGGCGGCGGCTGCATGCCGTCATCCAAGAACGATACATGCCGCGGGTCGATGCCGTTGTCCAGAATCCCAACGATGACGCCCTCCCCCATGCTGCCGGCCACGCTCCACGCGCCCGTGCCCGGCGCGGACACCCCGATCAGCTGCGGCGTGTAGGTGGTGGTGAGGCGCAGGGTGGCGTCGGGGACTGCCTCGACGCACCAGGGCAGCGTGGAGAGCTCGGCGACCTCGCGGTCCGTGAGGCGGGCGGCGAAGCCGCTGACGACGTGCTGGAAGGAGAAGACGAGGCGCGGGCCGACGTGGGAGAGCGCCTCGCGGAGGACCATGTCGGTGGTGGTGTTGAGCAGCGACGCCAGCAGCGAGGCGTGCCACTCCCTCAGCTCGTCGCCGCCCTTGGGCCCGTTGGCGCGGCACACGATGATCAGGTACGTCTTCAGGCCGCCTTCCACGAAGTCCTCCCCGCCTTGCCCGGCCCCGGCGGCGCCCGGCTTCTCCCCGCCCTGCCAGGCCCCGGCGGCGGCATTGGGAGCGAGCTGCTGGCCGTCGGCCCCGTTTACGGTGGCCGCGGAGGCGAGCAGCAAGAGGGCGCCGGCGAGGAGGAGGAGGGGTGGGGATGGGGCGCGAATGGTGGCGGGGGGAGGGGGAGGGGAAGGCGGTGGGGGTGGCGCTTGGCTGGCTTTAATGGCGAGCGGCGCAAGGCGAAGGCGACGACGGCCATGCGATCCATGGAGGCGAGCTCGCTATGTTTAGCGGGAGTAGCTGGAACGTGGGGTAAATTTGGCAGCTCGACGGGCCAGCCCCAAAAGCGCAGGCCCGGAATTGGGCCGTGGAAACTGATGAATTCGGCGCGGCATGGGCTTAGCTTGTGGAATCACAGGTTGAGGTGCGTGTGTTTTTTTCCAATGAGGACGTGAATTTTTGTTTTCAAAAACCAGGATAAATCTCCGGCCCCTGCATCGATTGATGCACACACAACCATATAGTTACATGGTTTATTTATTTTTATTTAAATTTTTATTTCCAAAGTCAGCGCATTCATTGTTCCGGCCATGTGGTATTTCGTGTGTTTATTTGAATTTGTCATCCGGTGAATTTGCTTTCGGGGAGGGAGCTTTTTCAAAGAAATTCCTCGTGCGATGGGAAATGGAATCGGTGTTTCCATCATGTTGCGGGTTATTTTCAAGAAATATTTTATTGCTTACACATTCGTAAAATATGACTTTTGATTATTTCAGTTATTCGTAAAACAAACACTAACTCGAGATGCATGCCTATCCATTTGCTCAGTTATTCGTAAAATAATTAAAGAAAAGACTGATTTTTTTATGACAAACATTGAAAAATGTTTTGAGTCCTTGCCAAGATTTGTCATGAAATCACATTCCTGCAAGGCGTGGCAAAAAAAAATCGATACTCCGAAAATGCTACTTTCGAAAGCATTTTGGAGCACAGAATTTGCTTTTGCCGTGACTTCCATAGATGTGATTTCATGATGAAACTTTGCAAGCTCTTAGCACATTTGTCAAAGTTTGCCATATTGTTTTGAACTTTTTTCGATGTTCTTCAATTTACTGTTCATCCCGAGCTCGGGTGTGGAAGAGGACTTTCGCCAGTACTCGTTTCTTCGTGTTTCGTTTTTGTAGCACGTCCCGCGTTGACTACTCGTAATCGTATTGTTTTATAGTACGACCCTTTGAAAAACTTGTGAGCGATTTGCACCGGAAAATGTCGTCATCATCAGATATTTATATTACATGAAAGGAGAACACAAGCCTCGGGCGGGTGAGCGGTGCCAAAGTTTCCAGCGGCAAAGACGGCAACGAGACGAGGGAAAGGGGAATTCGGAAAGCTCAGGATGGATGGACGGATGGATGTTGTTGATGTGGATAGCAATTGGCAAAATCGCGTCGTTGTCATCGCACCAACAGACCAACCGGAGGCCATTGCCGGTGACACACACACGCACTCACTCACACGTACGACAGCCTCTTAACTGTTGTTTACCCTGAGACGGGTGACACCGGCAAGCAATTCGGGACGAGACGTCCTTGTCCACCAAACGAAAGGAACTCTCCACTTTTCCTTTTGCGTTGTTGCCTTGTGGTGGTGCATCCGGATGGATATGTATGTATGGTCGAGGGGGTAGGTTTTAGGTCGGTCCTACTACCACCACTCCATCTCAAGACGGGGATAAGACACTTGTGTCATCAATTGTGAATGAAATGACTTCCATTATTGGAGTTTCTCACGATTTTCCCCGTCTTTTTTCCGTGTAATAAGATTGATTCCTGGAGTGGGTTTCAGGTCGGTCCTACTCCCACCACTGATCTGTCTGAAGATGCGGATAAGCTAATTCTGTCATCAATTATAATTAATTATGAATTAAAAAAAAACGAATTGTAAGCATATGCCACAGTGGCGCTTCCCATTGCCGAGCCATTTTCCCTCCCCACAACAGCGAGAGCGGGGTCGAATCCACGACGACACGCCCCTCTATCTCGCAACCAAGAGTAAGGGCGTCGACAGATCCTCACCGTCGGAGGAGGGCGAGGCCGAGATTGAACGGCTGTTTGAGAATTCTTTTTTTTTAGAAGGAGGCTGTTTGAGAATTCTAAAGGGGAGGAGTGAAAGCGACGGCGTGGTGTTAAAAACCGTCAGTGGGCGTGGACTGATCACGCCCCCCTCGACTCGACAAACCACTCCAGCTGGCCACCTTCGCCCACCCTCTCTCTCTCTCTCTCTCTCTCTCTCTCTCTCTCTCTCTAGACTCCACTCCCTCTCTACTTTCTCTCTCCTCGCGCACGCGCTCCCCCCCGCCACCGCCTCGCCGAGCAGCACGCTCTCCTTCGTCGCCGTCCGCACCCCCTCCCCCTCCCCGTCCTCGCGCGCGCGCGGCCGCCGCTAGGGTTTGCAGATCCACCCCGCTCTCGCTCCACCGAGATCCGTCTCCCGCCGCCGCCGCCGCTCCGGTGCTCGCTCGGACCGCTTCTCCCCGCCTAGAATGCGCTGCTGAGCCATGATTCGGGGCCCGGAGCGCTCCGCGGCGAGGCGCCTCGCCTGCTGGGCCGTGCTGCTCGCGGCGGCCGGTCTGATTGGGGGCGGTGGCGGGAGCGGGGGCCACCGCGTCTCTGCGTCGGCGCTGGCGCTGCGGCCCGAAGACAGCCTCGCGCGGCTCCCTTACGGGGTCCGCGGCGGCGGCGCGGAGGACCCGGAGGCGGAGCTGCCGTGCCGGGAGCGCGCGGCGAGCACGCGGACCTGCGAGGAGCTGGGCGGGGCCGGGTCCTTCGACGCCGTCTGCGTCATCGCCTCCAGCACCACCACCCTGTCCGGCGACGTCTGCGCGCACGGGGCCGGCAGCGTGGAGGTACGCGCTGGGGCGAGGATCGCCTGCCGGGTCCCCGGCTGCCGCCTCGTGTTCAACGTCTCCGGGAGTATCGCGGTCGGCGAGCGCGCCGAGCTGGTCGCCGGCTCCGTCGGCCTGCACGCCGCCAACGTCTCGCTGGGCCGCGGCTCCGCAGTCAACACAACGGGCCTCGCCGGCGCGCCCCCGCCCCAGACCTCCGGCACGCCGCACAGCCTCGAGGGGGCCGGCGGCGGGCATGGTGGCCGTGGCGCGTCGTGTAAGGTCTCCAACGACACCAACTGGGGCGGCGACGTGTACGCGTGGGCGTTCTTGGACAATCCGTGGAGCTATGGCAGTAAGGGTGGGAGCTTGTCCACTGATGAGAACCTTGGAGGGGACGGCGGAGGCCGCGTCTTGCTCAGGGCGAGTGAGATTTTGACTGTTGATGGAGTTGTGCTTGCCGAAGGAGGCGTGGGCAGTCTCAGAGGGGGCGGTGGGTCCGGGGGAAGCATTATGATCAAGGCTTTCAAGCTGTAAGTTCTGCATTTCTTGAAACTTTACTTGTTTTTGATACGATTTACGTTAGCAATGTGAAGTCCTTGGATAGAAGTATTCGACTCCTATTTGATCATTTCACATTATTCCATGGGAATTAGCCTGTCCGGATGCTTCTGTCGATAAATAAATGCACAATCTGGCTACATAACTTCATAATGTGAACATTATGATGTTTTTTCTTGTTAAGGAATTTTTAGAGCGTTTTATGAATTACCATGTCATTGCACTTTGTTAGACATTGGGTGAATCTCCTTTATTCAGGATTAATTATGTTGAAATTACATTTTCAAGCAAAACAAGGAAATCAAGAGTATCTATGACTTAGTCTGGTTGTACCGCGATGCTATAATTTGAGTGCAGTTGCTGCGTTGAGTTGCAAATCAGTGACTTGCTGTCTGATGTGCTGCCTTTCTTCTTGCTACCCTACACACAATTTTTTTTGTTCAAGCAGACAATCTCTAACAGTGACCATTTACTCAAGTTTGAAATATTGAGAAATATCATGAGTTGTGATATAGCTAAGTGTTGTTGGATATGATGCTCTAGTGTGACTCCAATGGTACAATCGATACATAGCCCTGTTATCCTGTTATGACCCATAACATCTGAGCTGCCCACAAGGTTTAAATCTTT